TCAAATAATAAATTTAATGTCCAACAAATAATTTAAAAATAAGCTATTTAATTCAATAATAAGCTTATACATTCAATAAATAACAACAACTCAAAGCCCGAATAGTATATAATAAATTACCAAACGATCGCCTAAATATCGGGCTANTTGTCTCATCAGGCGGCAACATTCTTTGAGGATGGAATACAAAAGCTGGTCCCACGATACGATAAGTGTCTCAATATTAATGGGAATTATGTAGAAAAGTAGTGTAAAATATGGACTTTCACATAAATAAAAATTTTGTTAAAAATGTTTGCTTGTTTTTTTTATATTTCAAAACGGTACTTACTTTAAAAACACGCTTCGTATTTAACAAAACAAAAGAACGTTCAAACACTTTTACATTTAAATTTTAATAAATATAATTATTGCTAAGCCGAGGGTTTTCGAATTTCGAATTATTCGAAAACGGTTAAAAAAAAATTCGTAAAATTTTGCTAATAGAGATAATTTGTTAAGAAGATTATTTATTTGTAATCTTGATATGCTGTGTCAAGGCGATTTAGGCCGCCATATGCCTATTGCCGAGGTAGGCAGGACTCTTAAGCCTTGGTAGGCAACCTGCCTAGGAGAAGGAAAACTCTAATCAGAAACCGTGAGGAAGGCAACGGGAAACCACCTCAGCTATACTTCCCTTGTTAATGGAAAGCAGAAAACCTATTTATCATACTGGCAAATATGGGACTCATCTCCAAAAGAAAGGTGTCATGTCCAGCAGGGGAAGTTATGGGGCTTCTCAGGTCGTCACCACGCGAAACCTCCACAGGAAGACCCCATAGGAAGAATTTGAATAGGAACATGGAATGTAAGAACCATGCTTCGACCAGGTAAGTTGGAAAATGTCAAGAGAGAAATGAAGAGGCAGAATTTGGATATTCTTGGGCTTATTGAAGTCAGATGGGAAGACAGCGGTGATTTTTTTTAGCGATGAATTCAGGGTTATTTATTCTTGTGGAACTAAAGGAAAGAATGGTGTAGCATTTATTTTAGGTGAGAAGGTAAAAAACTCAGTTGAAAGAATTGAATGCAGAGGTGACAGAATTTTAATGATTAAAATAAAAAGCGATCCTATGGATATGATGATATTTTAAGTATACATGCCTACTGGAGACTATGACGATGAAGAAGTAGAAGAAATTTATGAATAAATTGAAGATATAATAGAAAATGACAAAACTAAGAAATGTCTAATTGTTATGGGAGACTGGAATGCATCTGTAGGAGAAGGAGGAGATGGAAAAATTGTGGGCAAGTTTGGGCTAGGAAATAAGAATGAAAGAGGCGAACGATTAGTTGAATTTGCTATCAAGCATCAATTAATAGTTGGAAATGCATGGTTCAAACAATCCAAACGTTGACTATACACTTGGAAAATGCCCGGAGACATTGAAAGGTATCAAATAGATTACATTCTTATTCAAAGTCGTTTTAGGAATGCAGTCAAGAAAATTCAGACATATCCAGGAGCAGATGCAGATTCTGATCACAACTTATTAACTGCAGATATTGTGATGAAATTGAAAAAAGTTTTGAGAGCCAAAAGAATAAAAAGATGGAATTTGGAAAAGCTAAATGGAAATACTGGATTAAATTTTAAAGAAAACCTGGAATATAAATTAAAAGAACTTCCATATGACTTTGACTATGAGTTTGACCCAAACGAAAATTGGAAAAGAAT